AGCGAGCGGAGCTTCCAGTCGGCCGACGAGGGCGGCATCCCCTCCCCACCTCCAGGACAGCGTGGAGGGGAGGAAAAGCCGGCAGGGCCTGACGAGACAAGCCGGGGAAGGGGGCTCTGGATTCTGCTAAGTCGCTCTCCGCCCCTCCCTCTTCTTCCCATTTCTTCATTTCTTTCTTCATCCGCTGCTCGCGCGAAGGTTGGACTCGTCCGAGCTTCCCCAAGGCTGGGACCGCCGGGAAAGCAACTCCACAAGCCCTGGACTGTTCTGGATCGGAGCTTCTCTTGCTGTTGCTGCTTCCCCACCCCCTCCATCGGCCCCGGACAAATTAGAGCGATCAAAGAAGAGGGGCTCCATTTGCTGTCTCGTTCGGCGCCCAGACGCACTGGGGAAGCCCTCTTGGCTAAGAGTCGAGATCTCTCTCCGCAGTCAAATCAGCGGATAAGGTAAGGTGCTTGCTTTTGGTTTGCTCGGAGTGATGCTGAGAGGTGGCTATTGCTTTACGAGTGAGAAGGAAACGTGTGTAGGGAGGAGAGAGAGAGAGAGAGAGAGAGCTCTGTCCCCATGGATTTTCCTCTCTCCCCCCCCCGCTTGTAAATCACCCTGCCATCTGACCCAGCACATATTTCCGTGGAGGGAGGTCCAGACTTGAAGGCACTGTGTCCACGGGAGTTTGTTTCCAAGTAGGGTGAGTAATAGTACAGCTTAGTTGTCTTGTCTCATTTTTAGAAGTATTGGGTTTCTTTTAAGAATAAAATAGAAGCCATCTCTTAATGGGTTGTCCATACTCGGAAGTAACGCAGAGCACTCCTAGTCGTGTTGAGCTCTCTGAGGACACTAGTCCCTTTCCTTTGCTGCGGTAGAGAGGTCGGACCAGAGTTGATTTAGAACTTGAGTTGCTTGTGCAGGAATGAATTCCTTCTTCATTACAGCCCCGAGGCTTTTGAAAGTCAGAAAGACAGCAGTTGCTACCCACATTAATTGGACTGTGGTCCCCTGCTTTGTAAAGTGTCTACTTAGTAGAGGGGGTTAGAGCAGGCTTAATGGATTTTTCAGAAGAAGTCAAATTTAATTTGGGGGTTGGGACTACAACACAGAGCATCTCTCCAGTAAGGCTTAAAAACAACCTTTCCCCAAACTGAAATGTTTTCACTGTGGAGTGACAGCATGTTAGTGGGGAGTGGGTGGGTGGAATTCTTTCAGCAGCATCAGAGTTCAATTGTAGGCAACCCATGGAAAGCATTTGAGGTGGAATGGAGAGGGGGGTTGATGGAGAAACAGTTGCTTCATAGTTTCATTACGTATGTAAACAGAATTCTTTGAGGTTGCTTTGCTACATGAAACAATGTAAAGCATATCGCAGGCATTTAAAAAAACAGGTTTTGGCTGGGATGGGAAAAGGAAAAAAGAGCGGAGGGGAGATTGATGCAGAAGTGAAGGGAATGTGATTCTAATATGTATAGTGGGAAAACACCACCACTTAGTCCAGTGTAAAACAAATTCCAGGGGGTGGGGGAGTTTTGTTAATCCATTGCAGCAAAACCAAGAGTCTTGTGGCAAGTTGAACTCTGGTTAGCATTATCTGGCATAATCACATTGAATAAAGTGGACTGCAGCCTACAACAGCTTGTGTCAAATAAAACTTACTAGCCGTTAAGGTATCACAAGGCTCTTTGTTGTTTTGGTTGAGCTGGCCATCTCCCCTTCTGCTTGGTCCATTTATTAACCTTTGTTAGAATTGCAGCCTTATGGCTTTATTTTTGTTTTGTTTTTGTTTGTTTTGCTTTTTGGCTGGGGTGTTTAGGATGGCCATGGGCAAAAAGTATTATACAGTAAATATGCTGTAATGCCTGATGTGCTTCTCTGTGTAACTTGGACACTTGCTTGTTGTGTCATTATGTTGTATCCCTTATCTAATAAATAATAGAGCCAGTACTTTTTGCTGTATCAACAAATAATTGCAGTATGTCTGCACCAGAGAGTTAATGAGCATGCCAGAAAGGTCACTTCAACATTTGAAGAAGCAAGGTTTCTGGCTGGTTTGACTTAAGCGATTAAGTTCAATAAAGAGTTGTCACATTATCAGCTGTGTCCACTTCTTCTCCAGGATGAATTGGCTGTAAACATTTTTCAGTCTTCTCTGAATTTATTAAAGTCAGTCCCCCTCTTAATAGACAATCTGGCTAAATGGGACCCTTTCAGGGAACAGATTGCTGTCAGCTCATTAAATACAGCAGTAGATGACTATTTAATTGGGGTGGGTTCTTTCCCTGCACTGCCTGGGTGTCTTCCTTGGACAGATTTCTGCTGTTATTATCAATGTCTGTGAATTGTGTTATTTAGTTCATTAAGCTCATCTCCCTGGGGAACAAATAAATAACGTAGTGCCTCTGTGGAAGCAGTCCAAAGTTTGGCAGAGGTTTACATGAGAAATACTATAGGGATCCTTAATTCATACACTCCATTCTGTAGCCTATCTGATATACGTCTTTTCCAAATATGTCATTAAATGAGAGTGGGAGGGGATGTCTTGTCTTTGTTTTTAAAGAAAGAAGAATCTGTTGGACAGGTGTGTTACTAGCAGACAGCAAGTAAGGGCTTTTGTCATGGCTGGCTGATGTTACAGGCATATGTGAAAATGGATTAATTAAATTGCAACATAATCTCAAATAGCTGGCACAAAATATCTGTATTTATCTTTCATTTTGCCTCGCACATACCTTGAATAGCATGGCATCTGTGAAAATGGAGCATGTAGCACACTGTAAAATAATGTATTTGGTGTGCTTAAAAAGTGCTATATAACTCTGATACACTCTTGGTTTAGGCAAAACTCTTGTTTTGTTTTTTTCAAGCTTTCTATGGGTTTGCTCATTGGGAGAATCAGTCCAGGAAATATTGCATACTTAATCTTAAGTATGTTAACTGGATAGTAAGTTAAGTAAGTTAAAATAAGTGGAATGTATTGAAGGTTGTGGGTATTAGACAACTGGACTAATAAGTAAATACTTAAGACAGGACATGTCACAGAATATGCTGGGTCTAGATTACAAATCACGATTTTCTGCCACTGTTGCAGGCAAATGTGCCAATGCAGATGTTTTGGATTCAGAACCTGTTATTCAGTTTCCTTCTTAAATTATTTCTTGAAAGTGAGATGGGAAAGTATTGCCAAGAGCACAAAATCTAAACACAGGGCTCTGCAACAGGGTTTGAGAACTGCCAATTGGATAATGCTCTCAATTTAATGGAATCCTTAATAATTTTTTTCTTTCAAAACAAAATTATGTTAAGAAAAGGTCTTGAAATGAACTTTTTGATTTGAATAACCTTTGGGCCCTAGTATGATGAATTTAGATGTTAGTTCTAGAATAGTCACTGAAAAGAAATTATTAATACATCTCTAATCATCTTCTAATTATTAAGAGTCTAATAAATATATTCAGAATTACTTAGGAAAGTGGAGAGGTTTAATCATTCTTTTAGTGTGCTTATAGATGCAGTTGGTATTTGAAATTATGTGCATTAGTGTGTCTAGCTATTGAACATGATGTTGACAATTAATTAATGCATGTGTGTGATACTATGTACATATATAGTTTACCTTCTTGAGGCTTAGTTCTTTACCTTGTAAGAGTCATAGACCTCATAGTAAAGGGGACTCATACATCCTAATGTAATCAGGTTAGTAAATAAGTTTGTACTCAATGTCATATAAGTCTCTGCTTGCTACCACTTTTATACTTAAGTAGCATAGGAGGTTTGATAAACAAACTAAAGGTTGCTTACATTTTCCTTGTAATTTCGAGTATCTGTGAATACACTGCTGGAAATTGCAGTACTTTAATTTTGTCTAGTAATTGTCCTGGGTGGGTAGTTGCTTGTAGTCTTGAGCCTCCTACTTTAGCAATATGCTAGGTGGGCTAGCATGCCGACAAAGGTCTGCATAGTCAAAGCCATGGTTTTTCCAGTAGCGATGTATGGAAGTGAGAGCTGGACCATAAAGAAGGCTGACCGCTGAATAATTGATGATTTTGAATTGTGGTGCTGGAGGAGACTCTTGAGAGTCCCCTGGATTGCAAGGACAACAAACGGATCCATTCTAAAGGAAAAAATCCACAGCAGCAGAAGAATTTTAGAGAATAAGAGGAATTATCGTTTTATTGGTCATATCAGGGGTGGGGGAGTAAACAAAAGTTACTCCATGGGTGTTAAAAGTTATATTTCTTTCCTTGCATCTGTTCCTGCCTAGTATCATCACCATTATCATCATCATCTTAGAACTGCAGAGCTGGAAGCAACCCTATGGATCACCGACTCCAGTCCATGTCAAGGAGGCTCACTGGAGAATCAGACTTCCAACCTCTGGTTCTGCAGTCAGATGCCTAAACCACTGAGCTATCCAGCAGTTCATATCTGTAACTTGGCTTAATATTTCTAGTGATGCTACGCATTGGCAAATAACTCATGGTGCAGTAAATGTACTTTGGAACTCTACTACTTGTAGATGAACTAGTGCTACTAGCATTGGAGAGCTTAAACTAATAGCCATGAACCAGGCAGCTAATCTGTCTCTGGTTTCACATTATATGTTGCATTGGGTTCTGTGGTATACAGAAGGATAATAATCCTTTCAGATGTTAAAGGAGTATGCATTCAAGAGAGCTAGGAATAGCCCTGAATATTAAAAAGCTAGATACTGTCTGCAAGCTGTTGAACTTTCCTGGAATTCTAAGAGTGTTCTCTAAATAAACTGCAGTACAGAATAACATGGAATTTACAAATATATGGGAGCTTGCAGCAGAATATATGTCTTTTTCTGGCAGAGAATGATAATTATAAGAACACCTCACCTAGCTAAGGTCATTCACCTGACAAATAAATTGTGTTGGTGCCACGGAACATCTCTCCTGTGAGCTTTCTTGAACATATGTTGTTTTGTGTGTCTCTTGTGGAAGTGAAATGTTCTTATGCATTCTGTACTGATACACAGTGCTGTAAAACCTGTGTAACTTCATCTCAGCCTTCTTTTTTTGCTCAAATATCTCTATTCATGTTGACAGGAGTAATTGCATGCCATTCTTCAAAATGCAACCTTTGTAATGGTGCCCCCCCCCCCAAAAAGTGCAGATCTTAGTACAGGTTGGATTCAAAGATATAATCTCTTTCTACTGTTTTTACTGTGTTTTTTTTTTTTAAAAAAGATGGTAAATAGATGGGATTGATATAGGATTCTTTTTACTAAGCTTTCAGACTATACACTGACCTTGAGCCGTATGTAACTGCTATTGATGTTAATGAAAGCTTTGTTCACGAACTGAGTAGGGAGGGGTTACATATTACCCTTGGCTATTTTGATCCAAAAATTATCTGGAGACTGCAGTTGAGGAAGAGGACTTCTTGTTTCTGTTCAGATGTATTTGACCGGGCAGATGATTCTTGTTAT